TGAGCTCCATCTCAGCCCAGTCCAGTCCACCGTCCAGCAACAACCCCTCACCTTGGACGGCCCCCATGTCCGGCGACGTCCATCACCAACATAGCCATGCCGTACTATAGCTGTCACCTCGACGGGAACCACGTGCCTTCCGCCTCCTCGGATCCCTCTCGACGCTCTCTCTCGAGGCCTTCACCTTGCGCGCGCGCGCGCGCTGTCACTTCTCGGAATCTATCTCTGGCCCGTTCGTGTCAAGCACATCCATCATCAGTCACAAACCTTCGTTTGTCTTGCCGTCCAACCCCGTCCAGCCAGCCGGCTGCCTACATCCCATCCCTCCTACCAAGCGGTCATCTCTGGCGTTATATCGACCGGGATACGTCGATGAAAAAGAAAAAGAAGTGTCAGAAATCCGTGCGTTGTCTACCTACCGCCGAATGTTCTCAGCCCTTCAATGCGACCTGACAGATCGCAAAAAAAAAAAAAAGAAGGGCCCTCGGGTGCATTCAACGGTCTTCCGGCGTCCAACGGCTTCCCGCCCCGTCTCCATGACATGATGCTGCCGGCACTTCGCTACCTTCCACCTTGAGGTCGCCTTCCGGTAGCCCACCTCCTCCTCCTCCTTCCTCCTCGCTGCCACCGGTCGACGGGTGCCTGCATCCAGCCCCCGTCCGCTCTGGCTTTCCGGTCGGACGTAACCCATCTGTAGACCTGCATCCAGCGCATTGTCGTCGGGGTAGCAGTGAATGTCCTTTCCCTGTGATCCTCTACGAAATTTCGAGGCGAAAAAAGCAGTCGAATCAAGACGAACTTCCGAGTCTCCCACACACGAGACACGGGGACAGGGCAAGCTCGGCGTACCGGTCGGTAGTTTGCTTTTTTTTCAACACATTTGCGGACGCCGATCAGGTTCGCGCCATTAACGTGCCTCAAACGACGACCGCATCACGACAACGTCGAATCCACCAACCGCCGCGGTCTCCAGCAGCCAGCCAGCCCAACTTCGTCCTCCCGGCGTGAATGAAGCCTGTCCTTAGTTGTTTTGCTCAGTATTGCTGCTATTGCCGCTATTGCTTCTGCTGCTCGCCGTCCATTCCTCCCTCCCTCCCCTCCACCCAGAGTGTTGCAGACATACGCGTCTCCCGCGGATCTGGAGCAGGTGGTTCCTGCGTCACCTAACCGTACCGTACCTCGTCCCCGCACGTCGTGTTTCACGCCATGGAAAACCCGAAAGAGGAAATGCGCGCCCCCCTAGGACCAACCGTTCGGCATATTTTTTGTTAGTGCGTGTTGAATGCGAAAGCGTGTGTTGTGTTGTGTGGAATGTGTACTGTATGTACGTTGACTTCGGATTCTCAGTGGAGGGAGGGGATGCGACGACAAACCGCTTGGCTCATCCATCGTGATCCGCCCGTCGTCCGAGCCGGGGTTCTACGAAGCGACCGCGTCTCCGGCGAAGATGATAAGCCCATAACCGCTGAACTTCATACCGGGATTGGTGGGTTTAAGTTTTCGGTCGGGGAAGAACGTGTCTTGTCCTGGACAGGGTGAGAGCGGTTCATGGGAAAACCCCCGACGTCCCGCCTCGCATCCCGTTTGTATCGTCGACTTTCTGGGGGCCTCGAAACCCGAACGATGCTCGGCGAGATGGGCTTCTGCGTCGAGGATAGATAGCGGGAGAGAAAACAACGAGTGGTCTCGACTTTTGCGGCTCCATTGACGGTCGTCGCCAGGCAGGCAGGCAGGCTGGCAGGCATCGGCCGTCCTCGGCGTGGCTGTACCGTCCAGAAACGCGGCAGAGAGACGGCGGACCCCGGGGTTTCGGAGGAGGAGGGCCTTTCTTCCCACGCAGAAAGCAGCAGCAGCAGCAGCAGCTAGCTACGCGAGGCGGTCCCGGTTGGTCTCTGCCCGGCGCGTCCGTTTCGTCTTTCCGCCGCGCGCGGGTGTCCGATAGATTGGATTGCGAAGAAAGAGTCTGGGCCCGTTGTTACCGAGGTCGGGTTCTGCGAGGTTGTTTCTGTCCCGTCTCCCGTTACCCTCTCACTCCCTCTCCCTCTCCCGGACTACGGAGGGACATGGACGTGGTGGTGTCAGATGGCGCCCCTCCCGGTCTCTTCGGTCGACGGGCTCCGTGGCCCGGGGGTCCTCAGACGTTAGTCCCGGGGGCTAGGGACGTTCGTTTCCATGGGAGGCGTTTGATGTTGTTTTCCCGCGGAGGAATTGGTATTCTTTCTCGTATGGTTGATGTCGTCATTGTTCGGGAGGCATGTGGGTGGTTGTCGGTGATGGTCCTGGGTTATCTTGATGGAGATGGATGGAAGGGAGGTTTTTCGAAGATACTCCTTCAGGGCCTGCGTTAGAGATGGAGAAGAATGATGCCATTAGTGGCACAGAACAGGTTCTAGATCATGATGTTCGGATGGTTTCTCTGGGCATGATGATGATCTTCGCTCCTCGTTGAAGTTGCCTCGTTGGAGTGAAGCAATAGCGGCTGTATACCAGCCCAGGCTGCGTAGGTTGAGTATTGCCTAGTAGACTGCTACAGTGTGTAATCTACTTGAAGAGTCTTTGGCTCTAGTCTGAATTCAAGGGCCGGGCTATACTCATGTTTGTCCATGATACTTGACATTGAAGAACCTCCACCGTGCTTAGATACATGAAAACTGCGACCACCAATGGAAGGAGACACATTCATCATCGTTCGCTTGCGATTCCCGGGGTTGACCAGACTTTCATCACTGGTATTTCCAGGAAATCTGTAGACATGGGCTGGGAGAGTGAATCCATGTTTCTATCCAATCTGACAGATAAAGATGTATTACAGCTTCGTCACTCTAGGTGCATCCCGCAGCCTCGAGTGTGAAGCAGCGTCCCAGTTCCGAAAGTTCTTAGTGTTCCTTGTGGTCACCTTTAGGTAATATCGACATGTTTTCACAAGATATGGTTCTGTTTGCGTGTTCCTCTCCTGAGCCATCCTGTTCGCTCCGGTTGTGTATACGCTGAGCAGTCGATAATATCTCTCAGTGATATGCCCTTTCAGGATCTCGTGATATTGTCGAAGACCCCTGGAAGTTATAGGCATCGTTAGAAGATTTATAAACCTCGGGGTCTAGTATTAAATATACGAAGACACGCGTGTTTGTCTGAATTCCACGTGGACGTACAGCGATAGACAGGGCAAGACCTTCCCAGACAGCTTCACAAGCTCTTCAGATAGACATGCGAATAAGTCACAAGTATATATGCCGCTATGGAAATCCCTTCTTTCGGCTTTTCCCCCAGTTTCCGTATTAGGATCAGGTCGAGGGTGTGAAGCTGTATTTCTGGTAAGTGGTAATATGGCCTGTTTCGCGTAGATGTACGTTTTCATATATCCGCGTCGAGGTGAGGTGCGAAACTGCTTCGCCACGTGGAGCGCTAGAATCATTGTGGAAGAAACTTAGCCTAGTCTTGGAAGTTGACATGGTGATTGAAATACATTCGGTGAAAGAGCCTTGGGATGCGAATATCGCTTTCGGTCTTGATGGTGTAAGTGACAGGATGTTTGTGATAGCATAGCATTCCCCTGAAACCTTGTGGGATATACGAGGGATCGAAAACCGACTCAGAGAACAATCCGAGTCTATTTTAGTTGTGTCCCAGTAACTCCAAATGTTTCTTGCGACTGGTTGTTTGTCCTTCGTCAACAAGATGGTGTTGTGCTAGACATCCAGCAAACCCCTGAGGCCGTCAACATGCCTAAGAAACGGCTATCACAGACACGACATGTGACTTGATATGCTGAGACGTCGATATTCGGGCTGCCTACATTCTATCACGTGGAACTCTCGGCGTTGATGAGTTGACGATTTGGCAGGATATCAATCTGATACGCTGGCCATCACCACTCCCCCCCGTCTGCTGGATCCGAACGGGAGCTAGTGTCTGGCGGCAGAAAGATTACAATGCTCTCCAGTTAAACAAACTGACACCATTCCCAAGACGGACAACATGGATTTTCTGCCCAGAGAAACATTCATACATCACAGGGTAAAAGGGGCTGTGGCAAGGACACCACGTAGACATGTTTCGCCACTCTCGGCCCCCATTTCTAGGAGAGACTACATCTCGAAACGTGGCGCACCGATGAGGAAGGGGGCCTTCCATGCTAGATCATCGGAGGAGCATCCTCGTGGCTTTGACGTTTCGCCGAGCCGTCATGGTGATCTTCAGGGTACTCCCGCAGACGGGCTGACGGCCTGGGTCATACCCAGCGTCCGCCCCTGACGGCCGCAAGGGGTGACTTGGGATGAGGGCTAGAACACTCCAGTGCTCTGAATCGGACGAGATTTTGTAGTCTGGTATCAGGAGATACCCCTGGGCTAACCATGTTGATAGTTGAAGGTCTTCAGGGGAACTGTCAAACCACGTCATGCCTCCGAACGGCTTGACAGTCTTGGGAAATGCCGTCTGAGTGACCAGTCAGTATCGAAATGAGAGACGATTAGTCGTATCACTGCTTTAATGACTTGAATATACAGAGCAACATACCGCAAGCCAGAAAAAGGATGTAGCTCTGTCGCAACCCCTGGAACTTCATTGACAGACGGAAACCGAAGTGATCCGGACAGGTTAATCGTCACTATCGAACCTCTCATCATGCTATTGACGAGGGGAAGAGCGGCAACACGTAAGTCTAGTCAACATTCCAATAATGTTTCTATGGAAATAGTAACTCTGCCTAGCAACGCGTCCAAATGACGCATGGCTACGTCTTTTTGTGATCATTCAGGAATCAAGACAAATTAGCACCTTTAGTACACACCTGTAGCTACGAAACAGAGCAATCATTCTGCCACGAGATTTTTAAACACGCTGAAATATGGGCCGTGTATGTCATAGGGATACGTGAATCAAGGTACGAACTCAGATTCAAGATGAACTATCAGTCTACCAGTATCATTACAACCTTTCCAGGTACCTTACGCCGTCTGCTGATAAGACGTGCAGATGATCAGCTTTTGATGTCGAATCTAGTAATCGTAGAAGCCCTTTCCACTCTTCTTTCCGAGCCAGCCGGCATCGACCATCTTGCGCAGGAGCACGCTAGGTCGGTACTTGGAGTCGCCGGTCTCCTCGTAGAGCACCTTCATGATGGCGAGACAAGTGTCCAGACCAATGAAGTCGGCAAGCTGAAGAGGACCCATCGGCACGTTGGTACCGTTCTTCATGATGGCGTCAATAGAATCTCTGTCACCGACGTTCGTCTCCAAGCAGATCACAGCCTCGTTGATGTAGGGCATGAGAATACGGTTGGCGAGGAAACCCGGAGAGTCGGCAGAGACAGAAGTGACCTTGCCCATGGCCTTGCAGAAAGCAACGGCCTTGTCCAAAGTCTCCTGGCTGGTCTGAAGGCCGCTGATGATTTCCACGCCCTTCTGGATAGGAACGGGGTTCATGAAGTGGGTGGAGACGACACGGGAGCTGGCCGAGGTGTCTGTAGGATCCTTAGTCGTGGAAGCCGCGATGCGGGTGATGGAAATTGATGAAGTGTTCGTGGCGAGAATGGCATGCTTGGGGCAGACCTCAGCCAGCTTGGAGAAGATTTCGAATTTGAGGTTAGGGATCTCGGGAACAGCCTCGATGACGAAGTCGACGTCTGAGAGGTGATCAATAGAGTTGGCCGGAGAGAGCAATGAGCGAGCCTGGTCGGCTTGTTCCTGGGTAATTCTAGACTTGGACACATCCTTTGCCAGAAGTTTCTCTAGCAGCTCGTCAGTCCGGTGCAACTTCCATGCAGTTGATACTGTGAACCTACCAGCAAATGCCATGCCCTTGTCGAGAGCTGGCTTGGATGCATCTACAAGTGTTACGGGTACCTGTGCCCTTTGAGCGGCCACGAGAGCGATGCCCAATCCCTAATTACGTCGAGTCACTTAGTAGCTTGATCGTGAAGTTTCACATGTCAATTGGGATGTCCTCACCATCTGTCCAGCACCAATGACACCCAATCGCTTGACTCCTCCAGTCGCAGAAGCAACTCTCGGAGTTGAGCTAAAGGATCGAACCGGAGCCGGCAGCTTGGCCGCGAACCGTACGCGAGCAATTGCAGTAGCCATGGTGTTGATGTGAGTGAAGACGTCAGACAGCAGGGATCAATGGAGTATTGGGATGTTGCGGGGTCGGTCGACGGGCGTCGATTATTGTTCGGTTCAACAACAGGACAATGAATCGAGAGGATCGTTCAATTTACTTCGTGAGGGAGTTTCGTTTACTCTGCGACTGAGAAAGAACAACGATCGGATGTCCGAGAGCTGATGTTGTTGATGGTCCAAGGCCGCAATGACGATCAAGGCCCTCGGCTAACCTCGGCCTCGGCCATTGGCGCTAAGGCAAGGTACGTTCAGTCACAGTGCAGTCTATCTAATCTTATCGATATGATAACACCTAGAGTGGGGCCATCTTTAGTGGTTTCTCAATGGGAACGCGCCTGAACGCGTCGAGCGCGTCTCCCCGTATAGATCTCTTAAGCACTTCTCTGAACCGGGTCTTGCATGGAGACAACACCACAACCAAGGTCAACTCTGCCGCCGCCTTGAGCTCCCAAATCTAGCAAAATGGAGCACTCGGACGGGACAACGGACGTTGTTCACCCCGAAGTTCGGGCGCACATCAACAGTCTCGTGTCTGCAGTAAGTCCAAACAGTCCGGTGATCTTTGCCATCCAACTGCTGACGATGCGATAGCTCGGTGGCACCAGCGCCGACGACGATGGCCAATACCGACTTGGTGATGACGCGACCGAAGTACTCCGCGACCTGAAGAAATGGATTCGATTTTACGACGAAAAGACCAATCGCATGGACGTTGCCCGCTGCATCGCCGAAGCCAACCTCGTCGAAGGCGACCTGTTGCCGATTCTCGCAGGATGGCCGGAAAGTGCCACAGACAACAAGTTCAGGGCGCGCATCGCACTGGCTTGCTTCGAGATATTGGTGCCTCTCACATGGCCCATCGACAAAGACCCCGAACGAATGACCAACAATCACCACCGACACATGCCTGTTCTCGAACTTGCCCAATTGGGCTACAAGAGAGCTATTATCAACTACGACGCTGCCCAGATCCTCCATACTGCAGTTCGAGCTGCTCTTCCCTCGATGGCTACCTCAATTGGCGACCGTACACCCCGCGACCACGGTATCATCAAGCTTGCGCTCTTCTTTTTGCGCAACATTGCCATGATTGTCCCTCCACCGAACGTCAAGTTTGACGGCGACGAAACGATGATTTCCCGCTCCACAACCATTGATACGTTCTCCTTCCAAGACATTTTCGCGGTCATCTTAATGATTGCCTCGAACATGGGGGAAGACTTCCGCACTGAGGATGTAACTGTCATGGAAATCATCTTCCACCTGGTCAAACAGGTCGATTCCAAGAAGTTATTCATGGATGAACGACAGCTTAGCAAAACAAAAGCCAAGGAGCTCTCCGACATGATGAACAAGGAGAAGGCCATGCGGACTGCGTACAACCGTAAGCAACCCACACGTCACAATCGATTCGGCACCATGGTCTGGATGCAGCGAGGAGACGGAAGGGTATCAACCATCACGGGCCAGGATGCGCTTGGCGACAGTGCCATTCGGCAACAAAAACTGGACGAATCAAAAACGTTCAAACCGGCACGGAGGGCCAGAAAGGATGAGGTGGAACCCAAAGATCTCGGTGCTCCTGTGAAACTCAATTCGAGAGCCAGTGGACAGCTTCGGACATTTGTTGAGGACTTCCTCGACGCGGGCTTCAACCCGCTGTTTGAACACGTCCGCAAGTCAATCGACCGAGAGGCATCGCATGTCCTGACCTACCACCGTAGGCAGTTCATGTACCTGGTAGCTTGGTTTTTGGAAGCCGAAAGAAACCGCAGAAAATCGAAACGCGACGCAAAGAAGCCGAATGCCCCTGACGAAGTGAGCAGCTTCAACCTGGTAGCTGGAGTATTGCACCAGGAGATGTTCATCACCCTCACCAAGACTATGCACGACTCCTGGGAACACAAGGAATGGCCGACGTTGACAGCTGCGTTTCGATGCTTTACTCAAATTCTTCTCACCGTTCAAGAAATGTCCGAATCTGGCAACGAGGATAACGAAGAAATCGCCGAAAACATCTTAAGCCGTCTCTTTTACGAAGATTCGACACACGATCTGATTGCGAACGTTGTCAGGCAATACAAAGACCAAGGCTTTGAATACCTCGACTCTGCAACAGAACTGACACATCACTTTCTCCGTATTCTGGAGGCATATTCCAAACAAAACGTGGACATGCAAGTGAGGTCTCGCAAGCGGACTAGGAAGAAGAAGAAGGCCGCTCAGGATGCTGCTGGATCAGACAACGTCGATGAACAAGGGGATGAATCCGCTAACGACGAAGCCAATGCGGAACGAGAGTCAAAAGAGCGCAAATTCGACTTCCACCGATTCACTTCCCGCTTCACCCCCCAGGGAGTGGTCGATACATTTGTTGCCTTCACCAAGTACTACAGAGACCTTGACGACTCTCAGCTGAAGCGCGCTCACCGCTACTTTTACCGCGTAGCGTTTAAGCAAGAGATGAGTGTCATGCTCTTCCGTGTTGATATCGTGCATCTCTTCCACAGCATGATCAAAGGACCTGAGCCTCTTGACAAGCACTCCGGGATGTACAAGGAGTGGGAAGAGCTCTCCAAGCAGATACTGAGGAAATGCATCCGCAAGATCGAACAGCGGCCTGAACTTGTCATCGAGATGCTGTTCTCCAAGATAAACAGTACGGCACATTACCTGGAGTTCGGGTACGAGAAGCAGACCATCTCAACGTCGCACGCCAAGCCCGCAGCGGAGCTCGAGTTCAAGCACACAGAGGACAGAGAACAGCAAATCGCGATTGCAATTGGCGCTCTGCTCGACAAGAACCAACTGGATCACATCGCCTGGGTCAAGAAGACGCTCGAGACTGTCGAAGCTGAACGTCGTGCCTGGGCAGCAGCCAATCAAGTAATTCCTTCTGTTGAGGGCACTGAAACACCCACCGAAGACGCTGCTGCAACGGATCCAGCCAACCTCCCCGATGTCTACAGTAAGCTCATTCCCTTCTCTTATCATGATTCAGCCCGCTGACATTACAAAGCTGTACGTCCAGACGATGACTCCCGCAAAACTGCCATGTTCAAGAACTCGCATCTGCGCCTTCTCATGAAGCTCGTGGGAATGGAAAGACTTGCTCCCATGATCGATGAAACACCTCAATCTCTATGGGTGCTACCTCCCCACGTTACTGCAGACCACCTGCGCGAAAGTCTTGACTTCATCAACAAAGCCGAGTTCAGCCCGCCCGTCTTCGACGACGGCCGTTCAGCTGAAGATCAGCTTCGGCGCAAGAAGGCGCCGCGGATCCGCGCCGAGTACGATGATGACGATGATGACTTGGACGATGGATTCCTTTTCGATCCCCTGGGCCCTACGGTCCACAAAAACATCGATGAACCTGCGAAGAAGCCGAAGAAGAGGCGTCGCAGAAAGGTAGCCTCGGATGAGGAGGCTCCGAACGACTCGGAGCTTGAGGAGAAGGCAAGGAAACGCAGAGACCGCGAGAGAGAGAAGATGAGAAAGATCAAGAGCGAGGCATACGTGCATGCCAGCGATGATGAGACCGATGAGGAGCGCGACCGCGAGTTCTTCCTGCGAGAAGAAGCACAGCGATCACGCGTGGCCCGCGTTGTAGAGAGGGTGGCTTTGGCTCAGCCAGATAAGCGACCAGCTGCAACGCTGCTTGAGGACAGTGATGACAACGACGACGATGTCCTAGCTGTGACAAGGGGCACTCCCCAGTCGACTCGGCCCAGTGCAGATGTGGACATGGAGGACCGGAGCGATGGCGAACAGAACGGGGCTGATGACCCCACGCCACCTACGTCAAGCCAGGCGTCGTCGCAGAGTAAAGGAACGAGAAAGCGGAGGAGATTGTCTCCTGAAGAGTCTGCGGTGACTGAAGAGAGTAAGGCGGACAAGGGTGCGGACGCTGACACTGAGGGTGACGAAGATGAAGACGTGCCAGCGGCTGCGGCACGGTCGAGGAAACGTACGAGAGGTGGATTTGTTATGGATAGCAGCGATGAAGAATAATCATGGGTTGGATTGGGCGTTTGGATTGATGGAACCTAGATGCATAGCACAGGAGGTATTATGTTGATAACACGATTTACGTCTAGTCAGAGCTGTTCAATTGGCGAATACCACTCTTCATAATGGCTTATAGGCTTTTGATTTTCTCCAGACCGAACCATCATGCTGGGGACCTGTCCCACCGGTCATGGTTGTTGCGGTCTTGACAGCTCACAGTCGATCAAGAAGGTCAGGTGACGCAGCATTTTATATGTTCTTGAGGCTTCTATGATACCATTCCTTCATGTATAGCCCTATTTCGACCGGCGAGGATGAAAGTTCTCTTGCGAGTATAGTGTCTAAGCCAATAACGCCGACGTTCGACGGTCAACGTTCAACCGTTTGTGCTCTGTGGTGGATGTTCGTTGGGCCCGTTACCTGCTGTGGCCCGCGTTGGAACATCATAGGAGAGCAAATTCTTGTGCACTATCCAGTTGTGAAAACTGTCCTACCCACTTGCCCCGTCCCCGAACACGGTCTTCTTCCACACTCAAGCGATAGCTACTTCGGTTTGCTGGAACCTGTAGTTAGTCCAATCAGATACGGATGCATTAGTGCTTTGGTTGGGCCTCCTTGGTTGAAGAAAATACTGACCACTCTGGGCAAAAGTCGTGGATCAATTGTTCGTGCCAACCGAAAGTAAGCCGAGATCAGACGGCAGAGGCGTCGGTGTCGCACGCATATCCTCAACGGAGATCTTCCGTCGGTTGAGTCGGCCGGCCCCATACGGCAGACAGTCCGGCACCCGGGCAGTCCGGCGTCGGCACCGAAGTTCCACGCGCCCACAAGGCAACACACCACATCCATATGGCTTGGAAATCCCCCTTCAAAACTGCCTTGCGCTCTAGTCGAGAATACGATACTTCACCCTAGGCATACGGCGGCCTTCCGGTAGGCTGGACGCGGTAGCGCTGACTTCGCTGCTGGATTAGCCCGTAAGAGCCGTACATTTGAATGCAGATGTAAGACACGGGCCAAAGAGCCGGCCTCAATATACGAATGACGGTCTGATCTTCTTCCTCATACCCCGCCCGGGCAGATTGTGCCCGACTTACAGTGACAGGGAGAGAAGAATTGGAAAATGCATCTTGCTTCAGCAATCGTCTTTGCTATAGTGTCTGCGTGCTCGATCAAATCTAGTTTTAGAATAAAGGGAATATTCAGATGTTCTTCGCACTATTTACGCGGAGGTACTTTCAACTCGATCAACCTTTGCGTGCCTGCCACGACTGGCGAGAGTGTATCCTCCGTTCCGTCAGCTCTGTTTGTTCAACGATTTAGCTTCGTTGAAGCGGAAAATACGGAAGAGCTCACAGTTCTGCGGTTCCGGTTGCAGACAATTTCCTCTTCAGTAGATACTCTGGAGCTGTCTATACCGACTTCACCTAATTCGTATGTTCCTCGTAGTTTAGGGATGTGAATATAATAGATCCCTCACTTCTTCCGCACTGCCGGTGTGGCTGACTTCAATTGGAAGGCAAGCGGTTATTCGATGATTCATACCTGCATTCCGCGTCTCAAACCGCCTGTACTTCTTTTGATGACTTTTCAACGCTGGTAGATGCGTTCAATCGACCAGGGTAATGATGCCTGTGATTGCAGTCAGAAACAGCCTAACTAATCATAGGATCACCGAAATGCCAAAGTCATCAAGCGCTTACTTTCTCGGTACAGTCCTTGTTGAGTAGACGTTCTCTTCACAACTCCGCAAGCTCGACTTTGGGGACAGACAGGTCCCTTTTACTGCCATATGGAAAACAGAGGATGGCATCACTCTCCCGCAGGTCTACCCCGACGTAGATGAGCGCTTTCGAAATGTCAATACTTGGCAAGCCCATCGTCTTGCTGTCTTTTTGAATGACTAGTTTCAACTTAAACCCCGCTCTCGATGATGGTCGTCGAGAAGGCCACGAATGAGCAAGCAGGCCATCACACCATTCTATCCGCACCGAGAGAAAGGCGCAGACAGCTCAGCATGTCAAATGAGACAAGTGGGAGGTCATTGACTGTTCGCCCGTTGAAGTAGGTGTTGCCGTGCGAGTAAAAAAAGCGTAACCTAGAAACTAAGATAGGCATCTTTACAGATAAGTCTCCCAACTAGCCTGGCCTCGGTGAGGCTCATGACGAACGAGGCCCCCATTATAACCATTATTCATGTCGCTGTTCATTATGATTTCCTCACGTTTCAAGAGTTTGTTGTGACTATGTCAGTTAATACGGATGAACAAACACTTCGATTTATGTCACCTCGGGGGATGACTGACCTCGAGGCTGGCAAGGGCAGCCCGAATGACCCTTCAACTGCAAACACGTCCAGATGGAACGGCAGACTCTTCTCCAGGCTCCCAGCCTGGCCATTCGATCCATGGTTTCAACGGAAAGCTTCTGGCGCATCAGCCAGTGAGTACCTACCCGCGAGTACCTACCCGCGAGTACCTACCCGCGAGGCCCTTGGTTGTTAGTAACAGAGGAAGCAGACGCCCAAGGAGAACCGGTCCAAGGAGAACCGGTCCAAGGAGAACTGGTCCAAGAAGAACTGGTCCAAGGACCAGGGAGCTATGGCAAGTTCTTTTACCGCGATGAGCGTGAGTAGCCAGGCCATGTACTAAGAACTGGCCTGACAGGCTGACTCGATCGTAGCCGAACGATACCCCAAAGGTTGGCCTCGGCTGGCAGCAGAACAAGATGCCTACGAGAACGCCTCGATCTATCGCAAGTTCGGCTACGTCTCGCGACGATGCATTCTCGACGCCCAAGCAAAGTTGACTAGCCTGGAAAAACACCTCTTCAACTTGGAGCGCCCGCCATTACTGGACGACACATCGACCCCTGTGCCCTCCTCCTCCTCCGTACAGGTGTCAACCATAAGCGGAGAGAATACCCTGCCAGCAACGGCGAGCGAAACGCTACAGAGCATAGGCTCATTGCTTCCCGAATACCGTGGGTTTGTCCAAACCCCCTACAACTTTGGTGCTGAATGTCCCTAGATCAGATGTTGTTCAATCTACGAACCCTCGAGTCGTTCCACGAAGTCCGCTACTACGAGCACATTAATTGGTACGACAAAATCACGGCCGATGACTACCTCAGTAAGGAAGAGCTGGCCTACATGAACCACGTCAACGACTTCGTCAATACCGGACCAGATCCTCTGTGGCTGGCTTTCGAGTCGTTGCTGTACAGACTTCCGTACTCCTTCCGGAAGGTGGGTTGTCAGCAGTCCCTGGTTCGGAACTCCCAGCTAACGAGATACGTGACACCTGTATAGCTCATCTTTGGCCATCGGGACGATACTAAGAGGCTTCGGAACTTCATACTCTTGCCGATGCTTCACCTCCGCATTCTGTACAAGACTATCTTCATCTGGTTTTACGCGTTTTTGCTATTGCTCCCCGTGGCGCTGCTTTATCTCCACCCGGGTTGGAGTAAGCAAGCCGTCATTGGTCTCGTGGCTGGTTTCACCGTTTTCTTCACCGCATCACTAACTCTTCATCGAGGCATCAGCATGCAAACTACACTAATCGGGGCTTGCACCTATGCAGCTGTCCTCGTGGCGTTGTTTGCGGAGCTACAAGACACGTCGGCGACGGGATAATAAACGGGGATTATATAGAACCTCGACGGCATGGTGTTCCACAAGATCCTCTTTCGTAAGATATCCTCTATGTTGAGTGAACGAATGTCAGTAAGAGTTGGGAGATTTCCAAGAGGAATACAAGTTGGTCGAGGTTGTACGGTGGGTACCTAGGGACTGAGATAGTCTGGCGCATGGCCACTTTCGCTATGCTCTACATAGTTCACTCGACATATTGATATAAATATTGATAGCCACTAATAGCTCTTTGATTTGTGCAATATCTTACGGGCGGAAGGGAAGGAGAGACAGGAAATACCCCGGCACTGAAACGTTTGCGTTTGTCGTTAAGCTCAAATCTGGGACGGCCGAGACAGCCTGACGATACGCAGTGAACGGGAGTAGCTGCCGCTGTGTATTATGCTAATATAAATGAAATACTACGATGCCTTTGTATCCCGTGTTCATCGTCTTCGTAACCGCGAAGCATGCCTCCTGGTATCATTACACAAAGAAAAAAAACATTATTAGGTCAAGTTCAACAGGCAGTTCAGTTTCCCGGAGGAGTAACCACGATAGTATCAGGACTAGCCTGATCGAAATCCGCATCGCCTCCCCCGCCGTCCTTCTGAGACTTCCCAGGCGTCTCCGAAGCCTCGCGTATCCGCTCGAGACGCCACGAAGCCTCCGGCTGGGGAGTGGACGGCACCGTTCCAGCCGCTCCCTGGCCAATCCCTCCTTGCTTCGCGCCTGACGGGGAATCGGACTGAACCGTGACTCCCTGGAGAGGCGCGGTGGTAGCCTGCGTGGGATTCCTCAACTTGTCGCTAATGGCGAGTAAGCCTTTGGTCAATCCTCTGACACCCTCGAAGATGTACTCCGGGGAGTCCCAGGCGACCAGGCCCGGAACTCCTGACGCTCGGCGGGCGTAGAGTAGGTTATAGGATACGTTGGCCCAAGCCGGACATGCGTAGGAGCTCGGAGCCGGCCGGGGCGAAACAGGGTGGGCCTCGACGTCAGTCGGCCGTCCATCCCCGTCGTCTCCAGAGAACACAGTTATCGCCATGTTCGGCTTCGCTGCCGACCTGGTGTCCGTCTTCTCCTCGTGTGCGAGACAGTGAGCCCAGAAGCGCATCGCGGCCTCCGGCCCCGGAAGCCACGCCGCCTGCGTGAACGTGATGATCTCGGTCAGCGAGAACTCCTTCTTGGTTCCCAGCACGCGGATGACTTTGAGGACGAGCGCGAGCAATCCGACCGGCGAGTCACACAGGGCGAAAGACGGCGTGTTCGGTTCCAGCACGTCCGTCGCTCCCGGCTTGTGCGACGTCGACGACCGTTCGACCCGGTCCAGAGACTGAAAGTCCTCGGCCTGGTACCCGAAAACCGGAGCGCGCAGGAACTTCGCGATCGACCACTTCATCCACGCCAAAGGCGCCTCCTTCAGACCCGGGGCCGCGAGAGGGGGGTTGATGAAGTGAGCGCCCAGGCAGTTGCTCGAGTAGTGGGTGGCCAGGTGATTCGCGAGTTTCCAGTCGATTTCCGCGGGACTCGAGGCGGCCGACGCCGTATTCGAGACGACGTAAGACGAGTACGAGAGTCTCGACATGATGGTGTTGAGAATCTCGGCCGAGGCGGAGACGACGGGCGTGTTGCTCGGGAGCGCATCGCTGAAACCGAGACCGGGCAGAGAGGGGATGACGACGTGGAACGGCTGCTGGGTCTCCGGGTCTTTCGGTTCCGTGAGAGGCTGGATGAGGTGTTGGAGGGAGAGGTTTGTGAAGGGGAACGGGGGTATCAGGAGAAGAGGGACGGCGCGGTCATGCGGCGACCTGGCGTGGACGAAGTGAGACCTGACGGACGACTCCGAGCCGGGGATGAGGACGGCTGTGCGGAACTGGGGGAGTTGCGCGTTGAAGAGTCTCTCTTGCTCGCGCCAGTCGTACTTTTCAAGCCTGAAGCGCGACTCATCAGAAACGCAGCTCGTGAGTGCTGGGGAGGTCGAACTCACCAGAAGTCGACCAACGGCTCGATCTGGGGTTTCGGTTCCCACCAGTCCTGGGACTTTGGCTCCGAGGTCTCATGAGGTAACCTGGTGAGTTCCAGTTTCTGTTTTGTCAGATCCAGATATTTACTTGAAACCTTGAGTTCACAAAAGTCAGCGGTCATACTTTGTCAATAGACTTTGGTCTTGCTCACATGAATACGGTAAGGCCGGATCTCGTCTCCAGCCAAGACACCACTGCTTTCGAGGGGCGTAGCCATGTTGGGCAGTGAGCAGGAATAGCAACGAGATCACGAGAGTTTCTTGCTTTCCCGAAACGGCACCAAAGACAACAAAACAAGACGACTTGTTGAAGACGCAAAGGCACGATCAACGACGGGGAGAAAAATCGGTGAAAAACAACATGGGATGGGAAATATGGTATTTCCCACGTAAGCAACCAAACATGAATAAAGTGCAACCCGACTCGGAACCAACTCCCTGAAAACCCATCAATATCGCCGGGGACTTTATTAACTTCCTGGGCTTCCTCTTCCCAAGCGAGCGTCTCCCGTGTCCACGTCCGTCGTCCCGGTCGAGGTGTGTCATTGTGGCTTGTTGATGCTACTCGTCAAGGCGGCTTCTCAGTGGTTCAGGACGAGGAAACGGGCAGTCTAGAACGAGTGTAAGCCGATGGACGTGTGGCGGTGCGTACGAATCCTTGATTAAAAATGGGGTTGAACAGCAGAAAAGAGATACGTATCCATGTCAATAAACGGAGATGATCACCGCTTTTTGCTGGCGTTGCAAGGTACAGAGTTGCATCAACCAAGCTGAATGTTGGACGAAATGCGCGAGCTAAGGGATCTATTGGCTATGCTTCCTCCTTGCCCCTGTCCACTTGGGATGGCACACTTGCCACACAAGCCACACCTTTCGAGTTTCCCATCCTTCTTCCAGATTCCCATCTGGTCAACTTGGGTCTCTAGTATTCTCGGCATCACAAAGTGCGAGGGACAGTCGTTGGATTGTGGTATTCGCAATTCACTGCAGCTAGCACATGCATGGCGGTTATAGCCAACACGCGTCCTTCGCCACAGCTTATCATCCCAACGCCGGTTGTAGACCTGATCCCAACTCCAACATCACCCCGGTTCTCTGCCCGTCGCCCTACTCACTGCTCTAAATCTCGCTGCCGACCATACGCCAGCGGTTCCATCGCAATACCTTGCTGTGACATCCAGTGACAACCGCCCACCTAGCCCAGCCCGTCTTGTCTCATTACCTCCACATGTACAATCATTTGGTGAAGCTGGGCCCCTCTCTGTTTGCTGTGAACACCGTCCTACTTCGTCGGATCCAGCGTGTCGTCAATGAGTCATGCTCTTCTCTCTCACGCAGGACGTTGTGGTGCGGGTGGTGCCGCTCCCCCTGGGGCTCCGCGTAGGTTCATGGCGCCAATGCGGGACACTATGTTGCTTCCCACAGCGTCGACAGCTCCTCTGGGTGAGGTCAAGCTCGGCCCTTGAGGCGCCGTCTCTTGAACACGGAACAGCTTTATCGCTGTCCCATTCCAGATTCCGACTGTGCCCTTGGAGACCTGGATTTCGCTACTGAAGACGAAGCCCCAAAGAAGCGATTCGTACCAGCCCAAAGCCAGCTGCGACCATTCAAAAGAATGCACACGTGGCGAGGATGGGTCGACACCCACAAGCTTGATCTCCTGGATCTTCTGCAATGTTTCTCTGTTTGCAGATTCTCCTGCGAGTGCTTGACGTGGCAGTAAAGCCGTCACCTGTTGGATCAAAGTGAGCATGGTATGAAGAGGCAACTCTGGCAGCCAGCTTTCGATCCATTGCGCTGTAGGCTCGAAAGCCCCCGACTGTGACTGGCCGCTGGTCGAGTATCCGCCGAGGCTTGTGGTACTGTTCTGCCTCGAGAAATTGCTCATCCCAGCAGGCATTTTACCCCGGGCCTTTTCTGACATTCCTCGAAGCTGAGTGGGAACTGCATCTTCTGCATAATCGGCTTGGGAAGACGTTACAGAAGGGTTTTCGCTCGTGGTTGATTGTGCTGGCGTTGGACGATGATCATCGTCTTCGCTGTCATCCTCGTCGTCACCAATCGCAAAGGTGCCATCTTCTGGTACGTCGCTCAGAGTAGGTTGTCGAGGATGCGAGGTGGTCGGGCTGCGGATACTCTCCACGGAGCTCCTAACAGAACTGGGTTCCAGCCCATCCCCATTAGCCGCGGCCTCCTTGCGGCGGCGGTTTCGTCTCTCGATCTCTTCCTGGCCACTCTCAAGCGTGAAGCTTCGCAGGGCCTCAATGCGCTTCTTGTTGCGCAAGATTGCAAATACCAATTCGGGATTTTCTAGTTGGTCGTAAGTATGGGTCGCAATCTGATGCAGTGGCTGCTGTGCGCTAAACTCACTTTGGTATTGATGTTCAACGATTGAGTTGATTGATTCCAACAGCGACCTCAGAAGGTCGTGGTTGCTGTCGTTGGCCAAAAGGAACGAGGGTGACGACATTGACGAGAAGAGTTGCATCAGCTTAGAGGCAGATGCCGAGCTCAGCCCTTCGAGGTAGGGGGCGATGTTGTTGATAACTGCGAGCAGAGCCGGATAGATAGCGTTCAGTCTGCCTTGACTGGTAGTGATTAGATTATAGATTGACTAGCTGATGTTAGTGATGTGCTGGTAAAATTGAAGTTGGTTTCCTCACGTGAATCAAGAAGTCGGCATGTGTTCCGCTGAACCCCGGTATCCTGATGGCCAAGGGCAAACTGTCTTGTCGCGAAAAGTTGCGGTTCATGTTTGTACCGAAGTTCTTTTCTACACTGAGTGTCTGTAGTAAGAACGCACACATCCGTACCACACCCTGCTTGGAAGGGTCATTCTTGTATTCTAATGCGTAGAACAGCGTCAAGATGACAAAATCATGGACTCGCTCGGTATCGATAATAAACGAACGAAATCTCTTGTTGCACTGAGTGATCTCCCAGAACAGCATGATGATTTCGGGAGCAAACTTTGCCGTTGGCTGTCCGCTGGGGAGGTAGGAACTCTTCTCCTGGAGAGGCTGGTTGAGTATGCGCGTCATACCATCGACAATGAACTGGAAATCCTGTGGACGATGGAGCCTTCCGAGGAAGTGGCGGTAGAAGTTTTTCGACGTGGTACCATCCTGCTCGGGTATAGGATACAAGAGAAATACCAGCAACAACTGCAATGTGTATGTCACCAGTATCTGCTTCTCATCTTTAAAAACCAGCGTGTTGTAGGGCACGCGCCAGGTAGCGGGGTTGTACTTGAGGGTCTGTAACTGTCAGTACTTTCCGAGACTGAAGCATTGCAACGCTAAATTCAAGATATGGGACAACACGTACAGTATTAAGCAACGAGCAGAGCACTGATAACACAACTTGCTTGTCGGAACATGTGCAAATGTGCGTCAAGGCCCGGACTCCCTTCTGCGGCAAAGTGTTGGGCGACATGTACATGCTCTGACTGGTCATTGTCATGAGCAGGCGGAGTATTTCGCTTCGATTGCTCTCATATTCCTTGGTGGTAGCGACTACTGTGTTACAGCCTACACCACTTTGCCAAATGGCGTATGTGACTTTGGTTTGTCCATGAGGTTGCTTGGGTAGAGTGAGATCGGAAAAGAACAGAAGGTCGACAAGAGTATCGATGAGCTCTTCGGCGAGAGGCTTGGCGTCTTCGAAGTCTTCGGGGTCGCTTCTGGGCTTGGGCGATCGCGGGCCATCCTCCCCGCCGTCAAACAGCACTTCGTTGGCGATGGCCGATTGCCTCGTTCTCTTCCTCCTAGCCCCCCAAAAGAATGTTTCTTCCCATGATTGAAGGTGTTCAGCTTCGTAAACGAAGGGGAGAATGCGTGTCAGAACTCGGATGCAATTGAGGGCGTCTCGTTCGGGCGCGATCTCCGGGTCGGGAAACGAGGGATGATGGCGTAGGATGAAGAGTCGTGATGTGACGGCGAGTATGAGGGTTTCTAGGTTCTCGAGGGCTTTATCTCTGGTGCGACGAATATCGGCGGGGGAGAAGAGGCTGAAAATGTCCTCTGAGGATTCGGGGAGCTCCCAAAACTGTTGTCGCGATCTGGTCAGTAACACATGCGAAAAGGACACGAGGCGAGGGAACGCACAGAGGTCCAGTAGGGGTCATCGGCAGGTATGTGTCTTTCTTCAGACAACCTGAAGATGCCCTTCTTGAAGACGAGCTTCGAGTCGCTGGCACCCATTTTGACACTGAGAGGTCATATCTATCGGGAGCGTTCTGACGGGAAAGGAAGTTTGGGGGACGACGGTGTACGGATACGGTTCCAGACCACAGGTGCCCGAGTGCTACGTAATGGCAAAACAGTGGGTCGAAGCTGAGTCGACCAATAAACGTTGGAAAGCGGGGTAGGAACTCCCCGTATCCTGCGTGAGGTGAAAGGTCCTCCCCTTTCCCGTGGTGATCCTTCATGCCGAGGTACGTACTTCCTCCATTCTCCCGTTTCCTGTGAGTTACATGAGACCCAATTCCCATCGGGAACCAACATGATTTCGAGGCAGGGGAGTGGATTGCCTTGCGGGATCCAGTCACCCAGTCTACAATAGGCGCCAAATAAACAGCGCTGCTTCTCAGACAATATGGGGATTGTGATCATGCTGTCGCGTTACTTGTAGCGTGATCTGCGCTCTTGGTGAACATCGACACCTTGTGAGAGAAATCTCATCGAGTTGCGAATACCATTATTACCCGTGGGCTGTGTACATTGATGTCTATTTACACTCCCTTCTGGCACGGTTTGTTTCAAAAATCAACCGCTCGATCGCCTCGTCTCAAGAAACATCGCAGGCAGAGCAGGGAATTGACTGAAAAGCCCTCGTCAGTGAGGCCTCCAACGCCGTTCTCCGAGCTGCTAGAGAAACCACCGTCTAAAAGTCCCAAACACATCGAATGCATCGCAACATGTCGTTTACGAGAAAGAACCGCAGCATACCCTCAGTGCATCCAGCTCCCTCCCGACGATCTCCTACCCCTCTCGTAAAGCCATTTGTTGTTCAAGCCAACACTAGTACGCTTTCCAGTAGAAGGGCTTGGTGTCGGAGGGTCTGGGAAGAGAGAAGAACTGGTGCTTGCTCCCAGCATGCTGCCTCCCAAGTTGGTTGAGGAGCCGAACGACGACCTCCGGTTGCTGTTGAGACTTGTTGAGAACTTGGACGGGCTGACGTTCAGCGGGGACGGAGAGTAAGATGGGCCGTTCAAGGACGATCCGAGGGCCGGGCTGCCTCGTCCCGACAAAGGAGAGCCAGAGAAGCTCCGGTTGCTCGCAGGTGAGCCAGCCAGAGACGGTGTCCGCGAGTACCGGGGCGGGGTACTGTAGACAGCATCGGGTGTAGCCGCAGTCGCACTCGGGGGCAGTCCAAGAAGTTTGCGCTGAGCGGGTGTAAGAGGGATGTCGGCGAGATCGTCAGCCGGTCGGACGAGCGGCAGCATGGCCATGCCGATGTTGGCAAGAGGAACTAGCTGAACTACATAGTATGCCCAACCGAGATAAGATCGTAGAGACACACTGAACCTGTCAAGAGTTAGACCAGTTAAGCGTTGCCAAGTTGATGCCCAACATACCATTGTGCGGGGATGTAGGATCGCGCGAGAACCTGCGAAAGCCAGATGCTCACTAGGAAGGCGATGTTGATGGCGATCCTCCTCACGTTCTTCTCGGAAAACGTGGTCGCGTTTCGCCGTCTCGTGATCTCGTTCAGACGGGGATGTCTCCAAGTGCCCGGGCTGTCGACGACGGGCGTAGACTTCTGTGGTGTGGACCTGACAGGCGTGCTGACGGCCGCTCTGCTGACTGAAGAAGACATGTTGGTCTATGTGCTGGGTATCGGAGTCGAAGTCAGAGTCGCGAGGTCGAGGTCGATTTTCGGCGTCAGGGTCAAGGCCTGGAGCAAACCACGTCAGCCCTGCCGAAGATTTGCGCATCCATTGAGAGTGGGGAGGGGTGGTTTCTTACCCGTGGGAATCTTTCGCAAACCTGTGAATGTTAGTAAAATGTCGTTTCGACGCTGCGCTGTCGCCAAGCGCGCGCGTAGTTCAATACGCCTCCTCTGTCGAGTTGAAGATGGTGATGGATATGGCAGACGCAGGTCGCAGCGCAGCGTGGAGCTGTCTCGCGGGAAGGCCTGGCAGAAAAACAATGCACCAGCCACAAAGGCCACGGCAACCGGCAGAAAGCGGTCAGTGGTCAGTGGTCAGTGGTGACCTGAGGTGAGGTGGTGGAAGCTTCCCGTTACATGTGGGGCGGGTGGCGCACAGATCCCACCAGTGCCGAGCAGTTCGAGGGTACGTACTTGTTTTAGCTGTGGAAGCCTTCCGAACTTCCCCAAAATCTCCAAGTAACACCAACCAGAGCACCTCGAGGTCCCCTGATACCTGATACCTGGGGTCCTTCCCGTGCAGCTCACCCAAGTCAGCCCAGCACAGCCGCCGGGGGGTTATGTCAAGATTCCCCGCCGAAGACTGCGCCAGCGTAGCCCACTTCACCACGAAACTTCCGAGCTCAAGCTCCGGCACTGCCTCATGTCATTTCCTCTCTTGACATCTTCCGAGCTTTCCATGCCGGCCACGTAAAGCATTCTATCGACACATCGCTCGTTTGGCCACGTCCATCCATAATCATCGACACTCGCGACCCGAACTGACGTTGACCGTGAACGATCGCGTCGCCCATCATGGGGTTCTTTGACAACGTCATGCTCCAGATGGATGAGGGCGTCTCGGGACTGTTCGGACAATGGAATACATACACCACCGCCCTCGTCACTCTGCTCGTCGTTATCGTCTCGTACCGCATCGCGTCTAGCCAGGACCCCGATACCCATCCCATGTTGCTTGCCCGCCAGGCGCAAGGCTCGCCCGTCCGACAAAAAGGAGAATCGCCCGTCTACCGATCCCACTCTTCTCCTCACGGCATGCCTTTGAACAGCGGACTGAATGTGAAGGATCCTGGCGCTTCCAAGTGGTCCAGGGGACGGGACGGAGACCTTAGAGATATTTGGAGGAAGGCCGCGACCGGAGGGTCCGGCGAAGATGGCCAACGTGCCGTGGGCAAGGGCCGCATTTTCACGGTGTTGGGCCGCGAGAACGTTATTGAGCACCAGCTTGGTGAGTACACGTGCTTATCACAACGCCTACAATATCTGACAACATGCAGATGATATCACCCGACAGATCAACCTGATCGGGCAGCACATCCATGAGCAGGGAGGCATCCGTGTTGCCATCTATCTGCCCAACTCCATTGAACTGCTGGCCGCCTTGTTTGCATGCAGTTTCTACCCCAATCTCACGGCCATCCTGATTCCCTTCGATGTGACCAATGAGGAGCTCATCATGATGCTTCGTCGTTCTGCCGCCGACACCGTTATCACGGCACCCGGCACCTTCCCCTTCGACACCGTCGTAAAGGCCTACCCCTCTCTCCGCCAACTGATCTGGGTCGTAGATGAGGGCAGCAGCCACATGGACTGGAACGAAGTTCCCGAGGGCACTGGCGGCAGCGTCAACGTTGCGACCTGGCAAGAAATTATCAAGGATGCGCCTGCTGATGCCTCGAGGGAGCTCCCGCCCATCGATAAGGAGATTGAGCCGAAGGATGTCGTTACGTTTTGGCAGACGAAGCCTGGAACTATGGAAGAGATGGTTCGGTTCACTCAGGCCAACTTGGTTTCTGGGGTTGCTGGTCAAATCGCCGCCATTCCTTCCACCCAACGACTCGGCCCGTCGGATCTCTTCCTCCCGGCCGATTCTCTGACCAACATTTACACTCTCACTCTCACTCTTGCGGCCTTGTACTCCAACGCCTCCGTCGCCTTCAACTCCGTCGCAGGACGTTCGCCTGATCTGGTCTTGGCCACACAGGGAGTGGCCCCGACGGTGCTGGTCGCCACGCCCGAGACTCTGCTGAGAACTCACCAGGAAGCGACCAATCGCCTGACGTCCGCCATAGGCAAGGTTGCCCACTGGGCCCAGTCTCGAACTCTGACGGAGAGCGGCGTCATGCCCGTCGCCTCCGCCGCTTCTCGGTTCAACAGCTCGTCCCGCCCTGCGATTGGCACTACCCCCGGAAAGTTGCGTCTTGTGTACGTGGCAGACAGAGCCGGCGCCGAGACACCGCCGCTGTCGTCTCGACTGCTGTCCGATCTCCGCGTGTTTTTGGGTGCCAGGGTTATTTACGCTCTCACGGCGGCCAAGGTTGCCGGATCCGTGGCCCAGACTGGCTACTACGACTACAGAGTACATGACGATGAGCGTTCGCATTTCGGCCCCCCTGTCACGAGCACTGAGATCCTTCTGAGAGATACGGAGGAGCTCAAGAATGAGGATCAAGACTACAAGGGAGAGGTAAGTTCTCAAGGCCCAACGCCAGATATTTCATTACTAACGCATGCCGATAGGTCATTGTGAGGGGTCCCTGTGTTGCAGGCAACGAGGCTTCTATAAAGGTTGCGGGGAAGATTCGGGACGACAACACATTGGCGTATGCCTAGAGCTTGTACTCCGAACTAGTGCTGTTCTTGAATAGATGTTTGTTGTACTCTCTGACACACAGTATAGAGGGTGCTATTTCTGCATCGACGTGATCTGTTTCTATGTGCAACAATTTTCTATCCAACTGTCAACAAATTTTCGCAACGAGTATAGCAGTTAAGTGTTCCCTGAGGCCCTCCATCTAACAAACTGTGCATCTCGCATATGGCCAAGCAAAATCAGCAAGATTGCGTCGCCGCCGTGATTCCCCTCTATCTCGGTCCCCCCCGGTCTGTCTATCGTCTTTCCAAGGTCGAGTGCAGAACGTGCTGCCTCATCATCGAGATGAAGACGAGGGCGAGTAGCGACATGCCGAGCATGGTGAACCACACGCTGCGGAACGCCTCCATGAAGGAGTCGATGACGCCGGTCTTCCACCCGGGGGGCAGGTGCTTCAGCTCGTCCAGGTCGTCCCTGATGCGTCCGATGATCTCCGCGGCGTCCGGGTAGTCGCCGAAGCGGTCCCAGAGCCGGTTCTTCAGGACGTTCTGGTAGACGGCGGACCCGATTGTGATGCCGACGGTGCCGCCGAGACTCCGCGCCAGATCTGGGAATGAGGTCAGTTTTCTACGTGCTAGTGTGAGGGGTTTCGGGGGGCGCGGGTCTCCACTTACACGTCGCGGACGTGACGACTGCTTGCTGGGAGTGGTCGACGGCGGAAATGCAGCCGAGCAGCGTGATGGTCAACATGGAGCCGTAGCCGCCGCCCGCGAGGAAGAACACGAGGTAGTTCACCCAGGCGGGCGTGTTCGTGTCGAACTGGGTGAGGATGACGATGCCGATGTTGAAGAGCACCAGGGCGACGATGCCCGGGACCACGTACTTCCCCGTCTTCTTCATGATGATGCCGGCTCCGACGGACATGATGGACACGCCCAGCGGGGACGTCAGGATGCGGAGGCCCGCGTCGGTGGCCGAGAGCCCGTTGACCTGGAGGTAGAGCGGGACGTAGAAGATGGCCATCATCATGACCATGGTGCAGAGCAGGTTGGTAAAGCAGGCGGCGAGGATGGTGCGGTTCGCGAGCAGGCGGACGGGGATGATGGGCTGCTTCACGCGGCTCTCCCAGACGAGGAAGGCGGCGAAGGCCACGAAGGAGAGGGGGATGGTGGTCAGGGGCAGCGGGTGGACCCATGGGACGAGGTTTCCGCCGGCGTTGAGGCCGAGGAGCAGGAGGACGAGGAAGGAGATGGTGAGTGCGACGCCGACGAAGTCGATGCGGGCCAGGTAGGACTTGTCCGAGGCCTTGGGCGGGACCTTGACGAGGACGGCGACGAGGACGGCGGAGAGGAGGACGGGCGGGACCTGGATCAGGAAGGCGAGGCGCCAGCCCATGGCCGTGTGGTCGTTGATGAGGCCGCCGAAGACGCCGCCGAGCATGGCGCCGGAGCCGTAGGCGATGTTTCCGATGCCCTGGTAAATCCCTCTCTTCCTCAGAGGGATGAGGTCCGAACCCAAAAACGTGCTGATACTCATCAAACCACCGCCGCCAATGCCAGCGACCTGCGTATAAAACAGTCAGTATTAAAGTACAGGTCATCAGAGGGGTTAGTCAGGCGCGTCTTTTCTTACCACACGGCCGAAAATGATGGCGGACTGGGTCCTAGCGAGGCCGCAGATGAGGTTACCGGCGGCGAAGAAGATGTTGGAGAAGACGAGACCCGGACCGCGGCCGAAGATGTCCGTCAAACGGCCGGAGATGGGCTGGCAGGCGGCATTGGAGATGAGGTAGGCGGTTGCGAGCCAGCTGAGGAGACTGAGGGACTTGAACTCGCTCGAGATGGGGCCGGAGAGAGTCGCGATGATCTAACGAACGTCTTGTTCAGCAACAGGCAGTGGGACGTGAGAGTCGCGTCTGCAACTCACCGTGCTATCGATGGCGCCAAGAAACACGCCAAAGTACGACGTTCCCAAGATCAGAGCCAGACGGCCGCTGGAGACGGTCTCGGCGATGACGGTCGTCTCCTCGTCGTTGGCGGCCGCGGCGGGTGTGCCATTGCTGGCGCCGTTAAGCAGGGGCGTCGTCTCCGCGGCCTGGACGCCGTTTGCCGCTCGCTGCGGCTGCTCTTCATCCGCAGGCATGATTCCTGCTTTTACCTGTTTATCACTCTTACAGAAAAAAAACCCTTCACAGTGAGTGAAACGGAGATGGAAACTCTGCTCGGCCGTGATTGTCAATGACGCCTTTCGGCTGATCTACGGATACGACTCCGACACACTAAAGAATGCACGCAAGCGGCAAGGTTCAGGCGATGTTATGTAAGATGCAGTTTCCCGTTTCTGCCCTCGGAAAACGGTATGTCGTTCAATCGTGATGGTTGATGGCCGCCGGCCCGGATGCAGAACTGACTAATTACTAGTTGTTTAGTGGGAGAAAAGCTGTGAAGCACTGAAGATTGCTGTTTGGGGCCGAACGTCGGCGCTACCCCAGCTTTTGAGCCCGGGCCAGCTGCCCCCAACGGGTAAAGGTTTGGCGGCTTGTACATGAAGCAATATCGTCGCGTGCGACACAATCGCCAGCCAAGGCAGGTGCCATCCCCGGGGAGCGATGAGGGATCGAGATAAGGCCGCGTTTGGCATGTCTTCAGCGACTGTCATTTGAAAGAAAGGGTAAACGGCCGGGGGCTTATTGGGATTTAATCCCCGGGTGTTGCGTATGCCTCTCTTATCTTACCCACCAGCGACACAACCTCGCAATCACGTCACTGCCGATGTCGGTGTTCGTGAGCGCTCCTCTCCTCCTCTCGACTTTATTTATCTCGGCGGTTTCACTTCGACTGTTTGGCGGCGCTCACCAACTTTGGAACGAGAGAAGATTTTCGACATGGGAGTTTCTGCCGGAGAATGACGCACAATTCGATGTTTGTGGCGAAGGGTTCGATGGGGAGATGACGGGAAAACACCAAAAGAGTCAGCACGACACCACACGAAGCGAGCCATCGACAATGCCAGAGGAGCACAGGTAGGGGGGTTTGTTTCCTCAGTGTTGTTTCCTCTTTTTCTCTCCCTACGTCTCTTGATCGACGTCATGTATTCAAAAGCAAAACTTCGGCTAGCAATGTATTTTGTTCGATTTCCCCCCAACATGCAAACCCTGAAAACTGTGGCATCCACAGGGTTGTTTTTGGCCTCAATCTGCCTCAGGATCTGAGCGGCGCAGCATCATGCTTTTCTCAACCAACAAAGATGCTCGGAGGAATTTTAGAGAAAACACTATCCACATGAGGCCAAAAAAGTTGGCGGCCGTGTTACTCAGACCGAAAACTCAAGCTGCGTTTGCTCAATGGCCTCAATTGCGTCTGTGGCTGGATCAGCCGGCCGACGGCCTTATAAAGGCTTCACAAGATGTTCACGACTTTATCGGAAGGGATCTCACAGAAGCATCAGCACTTCCATCTCTTTACTCACAGACCAGTCTTCTTCATCAAAATCACTCAAAATGGCGTCCTCCGATGTCTTGTCGCAGACTCTCTTCACCATCACGAACGTGAAGCTCGACCAGCTTGACAAGCAGAAGGCCGCCTATGAGTCGAGCAAGCGGGCTCTTCTGGATGAGGCGGCCTCCGAGGGGAACGACCGCACGCGCGCACAGCTCTTCATCGAAAAGGCCAAGACACTGCCCGCCATGTCCAAGATCGGCAATGGCAGCCTCATCTCCATCGACAACCTCAAGCGCTTCGTCCAGCAGTCCGAGTACGACCCCTGCATATCAGCAAGCTTCATCCGCGACTGCGAGAAGGCCGTATCGCAGGAACTCGACGTGGAATCCGCAAAGTACCGTTTCGCAGAGTTGTACGGGAAGCTTGTGAACGAATGGATCTCCGCTGGCAAGAGCGACGATCAGAACTCGGAGTCAGGATTCGTCCCGGTGGGAAGGCAGGAGATGCACGAGCAGCGGGCGACGTGGGAGGGTTATGTTTTCCACGCCAAGGAGACGGACGGCGACGCCATCAAGGAGTACCTGGAACGGCTCTTCTGCTCGTCGTCCAAGGACGTGAAGCGGGCTTTCGTCGACTTGAGGCTTGATGTGGTGAAGTTCCAGAAGTGGTGGGACGAGCAGACGCATTTCAACGAGGATTCGCTGGGCAATACGATCCGCGGCCTGTTGCGGACCGACACCCTGACGGACCAGAAGAGGACGATCTTGAACGACTTCCTCAACAACAAGGTTGTCCTTCGAGAAATTGCGGACGTGCTGAACATGCGGATGCAGACACGGCAGAAATGGTCCTGGGACGGCGAGAGCACCATCGACCAGCGACGGCAGCTCAACGGGCGCTACCGCTTCTACCCCGACGACGACCTCCTGCAGTCCATCTTCATCCATCACATCGGCACTCAGTGGGGCGTCAAGATGCGCAGTCTCCTTTTCGCCTTCACGGATCGCCCCGGTGTTGAGAAGAGCGTCGCGACCCCCATGACCAAGGAAGACGTCCGCCGGCGGCGGTACTTCCTCAACATGGGCGGCGGCGCGCAGATCGAGTACGACGACTCGGTGGAGAAGAAACTGGCGAGGCACTTCAAGGACGAGATCTTCCTGGACCAGCTGCCGCAGACCGCCGACGAGAAACGGGGCGGGTACAACGGCGACGACGGCCTGGAGGACGACAGCCGCAAGGCCCACATCGCCATTGTCCAGAACCTACTACACCTCATCCAGTCCGAGATCATCATCAGCCAGCGCCTCGGCAACGACATGACCGTCATCCGCTCCGACTTCAAGTGGTTCGGCCCGAGCGTGCCGCACTCGTCCATCTTCGCCGTCCTCGAGTTCTTCGGCGTCCGCCCCGACTGGATCGACCTCTTCCGCCGCATCCTCGAGTGCCCCCTCCGCTTCAAGCAGGACCCGCCCGACGCCCCGGCCCAGATCCGCAAGAGGGGCACCCCCCTCAGCACGCCCCTCGCCGACTTCTTCGCCGAGACCATGCTGTTCTGCATGGACTTCGCCGTCAACCAGAGCGGCGACGGCTGCCGCCTGTACCGCCTGCACGACGACATGTGGCTCTGGGGCGGGCAGGAGACGTGCGCGCGGGCGTGGAGGACGATGGTCGAGTTCGCGGGCATCACGGGGCTGGAGTTCAACGAGAGCAAGACGGGGAGCGTCAGGATCGGGGGCGAGGCCGGCAAGAGCAACAGCGGCGGCGAAAGCGAACGGGAGGCGGCGGTCGAGGGCCTGCCCTGGGGCGACGTGACGTGGGGATTCCTCAAGCTCGACCGGGCGTCCGGGCGCTTCCTCATCGACCAGAGCAAGATCGACGCGCACATTGACGAGCTCCGCCTGCAGCTGGAGGCGTGCGGCAGCGTCTTCGACTGGATCCAGGCGTGGAACATTTACGGCGCGCGCTTCTTCGGGACCAACTGCGGCCAGCTCGCCAACTGCTACTCCCGCGCCCACGTGGACAGCACGCTCGCGACGTTCCACCGCATACAGCAGCGCCTGTTCGGCCGGGACGGCGGCGGGGTCGCGAGGCACCTGGAGCGCGTGGTGGCCGAGAGGTTCCATATGCACGTCCCGGACGGGTACCTCTACCTCCCCGCGTCCCTGGGCGGCCTGGGGGTGCAGAACCCCTTTATCCACCTGTACCTCATCCGCGAGGGCGTCGAGGAGGACCCGAACGAGATCATGGACAAGTTCCTGGAGGAGGAGGAGGCCGAGTACCGCAGCTTCAAGGCGCGGTACGAGGAGGCGGACCCGGTGGACTTTGCCCGGCGGTCCTCGTGGGGGTCGGTCGACTGCGCGGACCTGCGGGACGAGCCCTTCATGAGCTTCGACGAGTTCACGCGGCACCGGCGGCGGACGTCGGCGGGGCTGGGCCGGGTGCTCGACAAGCTGCGACAGCTGCCGGAGCCCAAGCCGATCGAGCTCACGGGGGACGTGGAGGCGGCGCTGGGGTCGGCGCCGGAGGGCTGGTACGGCCTCAGCGGGTACGAGCAGTGGGTGTGCGGGCTCTACGCCAAGGACATGATTTCGAGGTTCGGCAGTCTGGTGATTGTGGACAAGGGCCTCCTGCCTACGGGGTTGCTGGACATGTTGAGGCAGAGTCGATTCAAGTGGCGCGGCTGAGGAAAGGAGCGTGTAGATTGGATTTCATTTTGGACGAATTTTCTTGGAATTAGGCGCGGAAACCCGGTCCTTGTGCCATCTCAACTCAACAACTAGGGATTTGCCGGCTGGTTTGGAGTTCACGGGCTAGGAAAGCACCGGATACCCTGCGGATTGTACAGTAGCTTAATTTGTGTTCAGAATAGGGGTTTTCCATGTTGGTTTACACCGCTGTATTAGTCAAAATCAAGCATCGCGACTCAAGCTCCTCTCTATCGAAAGTCTCTGATGATTGTGCAAGATAAAAAAAAAGAATCAACCCTCGATCCCCGTCTCCGATCCCTGGCCTTGCAAAGAGGCAAAAAAACACGCGGGACTTGACGTGTTGGCGCCAAGCAACAGGGTCCTCGGCTCGCGTTGCCTTTACACCGACGAGCCCGATTATTGCTTCCCTTTCCTCGCTGTTTCTCGTTATGACCCCGGCATTTCTTCCGCTTCGCGATGGTGGACCTGTGTTTGCGTGCTTTCCTCGTTGCGCAGGCCAGGTTCACAAGCCACCTGGTCGTGAAGAACCGGTGTTGTAAACGTCTTGGGTCCGCGTTTTTTTGAGGCCCCGAGGCAGCCGACGAAACCAAGATGGAACTCGGCACGCGCATACGTCAAGGGGATGGATTGGATGCACGTATTGGTACCTAGGCGGCATTTCTCTCAACCGGCTTATAAAAGGCTCGTCGGACATCCTCGCTCACCGACTGTCGTCATCGTCAGCATCCCCGTTGATGAAATCCCGGAGCATCTCGATTTCAAAAGTGCAATGACCTCAGGGGGACGACCATCAAAAAGCCGCAGTGACATGGTATCAATCAAATAAAAAACGATATGAGCAGAACAGACAACGCAACAAGTCTGGCGAGTGAGATAGGGACGACCGGACGTCCAAGCTGTCAAGAAACCCCCCACGCAATGTCATCTCACTTCTGGCCATGCATCGCCGACTAATTTACACACGTCAAACAAGCCGGCCTGTCATCCCAAGAAGCCACTATCTCACCCAATTCTCAAAAGTCCATCCGCCCGCCTTACTCCGTCGTTCTCCGTCGCTCCCTTCGCACAGACGAACCGAACGGAAATGGGGGAGGGGAATAATACCACCACACATGTGCGCAGCAGCACCTTCACACGCGCATCACGCACCCCGGTCTGACGAGAACAGACACCGACATGATTAAAGTACGGCTCGACCAGGGCCAGGGCCAGGGGGAAAGAGGGCCTGGGTGCAGTCGTCCAGGGGAGTTCGCAGGCGGGAATGATGGGTCCAAATCGCCACCGCCTCGAATTCCCCTGCCTTTCTCTCACGTAGTCGGAGCATCTCATATGGATGGATGGATGGACTTGCTGCCGTCACTTAGGTTCTTCCTTCCGGCCTGTCACTTACACTACCTAACACTACCGAACCCCGGCTCATCGCTTTCTCTTTCTCTCTTTCTCTCCTCCCTCCCCTGGCCTGCTGCTCCTTCATCCCATGTCCAGTCCAGTCCACCAGTTCCCCCTGCTCGATATGCGCCGCCAGATCGAAGACCACAAACGCCCGTCCGGTCCCGCGTCGCAGCCCTCCAATCATCATCCCCCGAATCCCCGGGCCTGGCTCGTTCCCTTATCACCCCCACATGGGAACTTTTTGGACTTGAGTGGGCTTCTCTCTGGTCTTCATACCTGGTCCCGGTCCTGGTCCCTCATCTCATCCCGGTCATCGTCCTTTTTCCCCAGCCCGGACGAAGCCACCCCCTGATCCCTGGAATCCCTATTAACCCCCCTGCCCTGCCTGGTTCTGGCTGTTGTTCACTATCGACATGTCTCTTCTGCGCCAGCCCGGCCGGTCTGGATACCTTACCCCGTGCCATGCATGCATGGCATCCTCGATACGTTCCCCCCTCTTCGACTTCTGAATTCCGGTTCTCGTTCTGCGTCGACAAGTGTACCTACAACCTCGTCTCTCTCCGAGGCATGTTGCAACCACATAACCTGCATCGATAAACTCTCTCCAGGACTGGACCCTATCGACATACGATCAACACTCGCGCTCTAGCGTCGCAAATCATACAACACACACAGAGTTTCCCAACGTCCATCTGTATGTATGTAATTTCTAATAAACCCAGCATCCTTCCATCCATCTTCACTCGCCTCGGTCTGTCGCAACCGAAGTTCGCAAGGATCTCGGATCACGTAAGGCGAGGAAGCGAGCGAGCGAGCACGGGGTCGAGAGGGGGCGTGTCGTGTCGTGCCTAGGCGATACCTGCTCATATCAGAATGGCACATATCGAAGAAGAAGAAGAAGAATCCACATGCCACCACATTCAATATCCGATGCCCGTTCAAAAGAACCCTACGGATACAGCGCAAAGTTCCAGGTTTTTCCCGATCTCACACTTCACGCCGATGTGACAGAAACCCGTTCACCTTCGGATGATACTCTCTCTCGCTCGAGTTCACGGCGCGATATCAGACATGTTAGTCCGTACAGATACGTGTCTCCTCGGCGTATGTAAGCAAAAAAGATACACATCCTCAACCCACACCCCCCGTTCGCTCACCTCACGCTCGTCACTCGCCAACATGGACGATGGATCGCAGCCCACATGCGCCTCCCGCTCCCCAACGGCGCTTGGAGCGATTGCGACTGGACGAACGCCGGTGGGGGAGGAGACCGGGGCGAAGCGGGAGGCAAAAAAAGAGAAAGCCACCGACACCCCGTCCCTCCTTCACGCTTCTCACCTGTGACCTTAATCCTTTCCCCCCCTCTTCACCTCACCTCACCCCTCATTCGTCACTCCCACCACGCCCCCCTTCGTCCCTCTCTCCCTCTCTCTCTCTGTGTGTGCTTAGCTTAGCTCAACGCGATGAGACGCTGAAGGTGCTTCCTTCCTCGAAAGAGCCCCTCCCTCCGGCAAGTTGCGCTGCCGGCTGGGCTGGGCGGCTGGAGCCTGGCGGGGTTTCGTCGTCTCGGTCTCTGCTGCTGCTGCTGGACCCTGAGACTGTCCTTCACCTTCGCCCGCTGCCCGCTCCAGCTCCAGTTCTCGCCTCGCGGTTGCCGGATATTCATCGACCGGAAACGCAGGTACCATCGTGCGAAAGGCCGGAGCTGAGCTCACGAATGAGCACGCCATCGTTATCAAGTGTGATGTCTGGGGCTATTTGCTTCTAATACTCTAAATCATTCTAGACCGAACTCTCTTTTACAGTTTCTTGTGTCCAAGGAACGCCGGGCCGAAGCTGCTCTGCTGAAGATTGAGTCTGATATAAGCTTACACTAGTGACATCGCGTGATAAGGAACGAGTGTGGATCGGACAAGTTGCGCCTTCATGGTTCTGTATTCCTGAGGCTATCGTCTCCTTTTCCCTCCTCCTCCTCCTCCTCCTCCTCCTCCAAGTAAAACTATTTCCTCCCTTCCCGATTACGCCTTATCATAAACATGCATGATGTGCAGTTAGCTACTATTGTACAGTTACAGATAGATTCCCCCGACCCGTGGCATCGTTCGTCTCATCAATCGTGACCAGCCCCAGCTTGCCGCCGAGTTTATAAAAAAAAAAAAAAAACACATATCGCGCTCCCCGACCCGCCCCTGACGCGCGCTTGACTCGTGTATTTTCCCCCCAAGTCACAAATCGAATTCTCCTTCCCCTGTAATTAGTCTTTTTTTTGTGGTCTCCCGCCTCGTTCGGAGCCAGGCTCAAAACATGATCCACTCCACTTCGACACCGGGACCCCCGATGCACCTGGTCCAGTTGAAGGGTCCTCTGCGCATAGCCTCGAGCTTCATGGCCGCGGGGCTCCGGGGCTCGTTCTTCTCCCACTCGCCGGCCCAGAGTCGCTCGAGGACGTCCAGGGCCGCGAGGTTGTTCATGTAGCCCGAGCGGGCCATGATCTCGCGACACTTGGCCCGGACGATGTTCTGCTGCAGCTCGTTGACGCACTCGCTGCCCGCGATGAACAGAGGCCACAGCAGGAACTTCTCGGCCTGGCTTCCGGGCTCGAGGGTCGTGGCGTAGTAGACCACCTGCGACACGAGGTTCTGGAAGTTGCTGTGCGACGACGGGAGGTTGGGTGATGCCAGGCGCTCCGTGAACAACAGAGCGGCGTAGCGGAAAGCCTCGGACAACGAGCCGAGGTCCCGGACCTGTGCTGAGGTCGCGGGACCGGGGAGCGAGGCGTGGACACGCGCGGAGTCGAACTCCCAGTTCTGGAGTGCGATCCGGGCTTCTTTCCATTCTGTCCAGAAGTTGTCGCGGTGATCCTCGTAAGACATCGGAGAGATGATGAACTCGTCATCGTCCAGCGTCGAACCAAAGCCGTTGCCGTCAAATCGGTGATGTGACATGTTGTAGACATCACCGATTTGCTGTTGATGCAAGCTGTTGAGGCTGCCCTTGTAAGCATGGCCCAACGGTGAACCAAGCGGTGACTGAGATCTCGATGGAACATTGCGAGACAGAGGTCCTTGAACAGGACGGTGTTGGGCCAGCAGGTTCAGTCTGCCCAGCTTGCTGATTGTCTTGAAAAGCTCGCGATCACAGCCCACCATGTTCTCGGCTCCTGGAGGGAGCAGCTGAGCATCTGGCATGACTCCGTAGAAGCTTGCGTTGAGCTGAGACTCGCGGTCGTTGATGCTGGCCGAGATGGCATCAAAGTAGGTAAAGATGGCCTCCATCCAAGCAGAGTCGCGGGAAGGGGCAAGGTTCTGCTGGCGACGTATTGAGAGGATCTTCTTCACGCCGGCGAACTGGGTGTGGAACTTGGCAATGCCAGACTCCACCATGCGGTAGTGGCAGAGCAACAGAATGGTCGCCAGAACAGAGTCATGGCTGGACTTGCTCGGGTCATTGAGCTGCTGGTTGAGGAGGTGGACCGCGAGGTTTCGGTGTTGGTATTCTTCCGAGAGAGACTGGTCGTCAGACTGAACATCGGCCATCGCCTCGGCGGCAGACTTCTCTGCCATGAGCTTCTCAGAGAGCTCCCGGGTGTCTTGGCCGAGGCTGAGCCTCCTCTTCATCCGCAGGTTACATGCGGACAAGGCACAAATGGCATGTTGTAAGCTCTGGCTGGTCGAGGCGAGCTGCAGAATGTGCTCTCGGTACGGGTTGCTTGGCCCGTCAATAAAGACCATCGACGGGCACATAATGTTCTTGTAGTAGTCCATGTAGAATGGCATCTTGGCGATGAGATCCGAGTTCACGTGAAAGGCCTGGGGCTCGAACATGGTAGGCCACTGAGCCGAAGCCTGGTGATCGGAGTGGTGCGGCGACATCTCTTCGGGCGGCGGTGAGGTCCAGACGTTGCTGTTGGAATTGCAGCTCGTGCTGTACGCATCCATCTCGGGAACGCCTAAAGCCGTCACGTCAGCGAGCTTGATCCTACAGCAAAGCCGGACAGGCCGTCTCACTTAGATTGTCACACTCCCGCATCAGTTTCTGACTCAACTGACTTTCGAAGTTGTCCATGTGCGACGTGAGGCTCGAGCTCTGTTCGGACGGTGCGTACACAAGGCTCGGGCAAGACGTGGGGGCTCGCTGGTCAATGAGGATGGCCGAGATGGGGCTCTGCGGTCCTGGCGAACCGTGGGTGCTGTAACCGTCGTACATGACGGTAGGGCTGTGGAGGAAAGGAATGTCGTCTCTCGGATATGAGTGGCTGATGGGCGACATGTAGTCGCCATCACTCACAGACTCGAGGGAAGAAGACAGAGCTCCCGAGATGGGAATTGGTCCAAGATGAGCTCCCAACTTGCGGTAGTTGGGTCCGTCCGTGGGTATGCTACTGGAGTATGAAAGGTTTCCCCAATGTCCTGCCGCAATGGCGGGGGAGTGCTCGGGATGCGACATGGAGAGGAAGTCGTAGCTGGGAGGGTACGGAGTTGTCGGGGTAGAGACAATGTGCTCTGGAGAGAAGCCGCCGTCGTCGCGCATATTCCTTCGGGTCATATCGTCGACGTCGGCCCAGGCAGCGGTGGTGGCGGTTGAGTTGGCACGAGGTCGGACGGGAGACTTCTTCGCAACTCCTGCCACGGGTGGTGCTTTGGCGATGGGAAGAGACAGGCCGCGAAGCTTGCCTCGGCTGGCAACACCAACTCCCCAGGTCAGTTGAGTCTTGTAGCCGGAGCACTCGTTGCCGATCTCGAGACATTGTGAGCAGTAAGGCCGCCTGCGATCACACTTGACATTTCTCTTGGAACATGTGAAGCAGTCATCAGCAGCACCGCCAGCAGGAGCGCGTCTCCTCCTCTTGCGGATGGAGGCTACGGCAGCTGCGTCTTTTGCTTGAGCAGATTGTTGTTGAGTTATAGGGGCGGTCATGATTGCGACTTGAGATGCGATTCGGGTGGGAAATACGTCGGTGGCGTATATGCGAGTTGCTGCCGGTCAAGAAGGGAGCAGGCGAATTTGGACAATCAACACGCTCCGTATAATATGGGTAAACAGGCTTTAATATGAAAAGACAGAAATCTACTTCAGCCACAAGTAGAGGATGAAATCAGGTAGACGGATAAAGTCGAGAAGCGCGGCGATACCTCGAGAATGAGATGGCTTGGGGATGAGGAGTGTATAAATGGATCGAGCCGTGTTGAGCGTGCTCGTTGGCAACCACTGGTTGCATGGATGAGAGATTGGCTGGAGATACTCAGGCGGCGAACATGGATCATGGCCCTCACCAAGCAACTCGTCCGGGGGACGGATAGAGCAATTGTACAGGCAGTATGGGAGTACATACATCATGTGTGTAGACGGGGAACAGGAGGCAACTTGAGGGCACTGACGGGGGTGGGGGAGGCAGAGGAGGAGTAGGGAAGACCGGGGGCGGCGACGTCGACCGAAGGAGAGAAACCTACGTGAAGGCGAGCCGGGTTGTATGGGTGTGTAGGGTGTGTGCCTCGTCTCTCCGAGTTTCTGATGGTTCTCTCGATCTTAGTGGACGGGGGACATTGAGCTCGAGAGACACAACTAATAATGGTAGACAAGGCTAAGGAGAGCGAAAAGCAGAGAGAGCGAGTGAGAACAGAGAGTGAGAGGATGAAGATGAGTAGATCAGCGGGTCCAGTGCCAAATGTCTGAAGACCGGGGACCCCTGGAAAGATGGCCTCCCCATCTCATTGCAGGCACAGAGTCAAGAGTCAAGGGTTCCCAGGTACCTTGCCTCTGCTTGGCTTGCCCGCGATTTTAGGTTGTTCTGGTCAAGATGTGGCCGGGTCGATGCGACAGGGGCCCTGGTCGTCCAGTCGCTGGAGGGGTTACATGCCTCGCTCGTTCTCCCTTCCCTAGAGTTGAACATTAGGTGACGAGGAGGACACTGCCGCTTGACGATGTTGGAGAATAGGATGGCAGATGCGGAGAAGTCAACTCGAAGACGGGTTTGGGCGTAAGCCTGAGCCGTGGTGCGGCAGACCCGAGTAATCGCAAGCCTGAACGAAGGGTCCCCGAAACCTCGGCCTGATGTCCGTACGACTCGGTGCGTCTACCGCCAATACCTGGTCTCCGCCGTTGAGATATAAAAAAAAAATCACCATGACTGATGACATACGATGGACGGAGATTCAACCCGCCCGCCGCAACGGCATCCGTAGCACGGGAGGCCAGCAAGATAAGACGTGATAGAGGATTGCGGGGGGAGAGGAGACGAGACGGAGAATGATCAATGCGCGCACCAGTCAAGAAACAGGCGAGGATAAGAATCGTCGTTTGGCGGCGCTTGCGATCCCTGTCGCGAGGCATCCGACCCCAGGAACTCGTATTCAGGGTGCCTCGAGATGTCTCCAACCCGTCTGCGAGCCTGGATTTCTGCCAGATGGAAGAGCGAACAGAGGTAAGATTCGTAGTGAACTCCGATGCAGGCCATGGCCGCGGATCGTTTTTGCGAATTGCAAATCGCAGTCATTGATCGTCGTTGAGTCGACCATCTGTCGAGCACGAACAGTGATGAACAGAGACAAGAGATAGAGGCAAGGCGGGATTCGTTCTGCGGACTGACAGAAAGCGCAGTCAAGCATAGGTACCCATCGCCAGTCTCCGAAATGGATTCTGAGCTCCAGGCCATGGGCTGGCTGCTGCTCCTTTAGCGTCTAGCCTCAACCTAGCTCAGGTCCTTTTGCAAACCCACCACAAACCCACCCTCCTGCTGCTTGCCCACCCTTGCTAGCGACGCGATGCGATGCAATGCTGCTGCATCTGCCGCGCTACAGGGCATGGCAGAACAGGGTTGGGTATGTAGGGACAACGACAACAGCAGCGGCGGCGGAGGAGGCGGCGGCCGGGGGTCAGGTTGATTGGCAGCTGGCGAGGCGGCTTGCGTGCTTCTTCTGCGTCCAGAATATCAAGAGGCGTTGTGAAGAACCCCAAGTCTGCGCAATTAACTTTGGGCCTGCTGCGGGCAAGGAACAAGGAACCGCGAGCTAAAAAGACGCGGACAATTGTCGTCGACGGGGGTCAGGCGGGAGCGGTACTTGAGCTTGGATGAGTGGATGAGGTAAAGCGAGGTAAGGTAAGGTAAGGACGTCTTGTCCAACGTTAGTTCGTAGACTAACATCGAGAAAAGTTCCAGGGACACGATGTTTGGACGAACTGGCGGCTGGCAACAAGCCATCGACGTAGAGCCGGGCCAAGTCAACCCAGCCAATGAAACGGCCAGCAAGGACAATCGACGGAAAGCCACATGTCGGTAGCTGGGCAGTCCCGTCCACGCTCCTTTGCCTAGATGAACAGGTTGAGCCACTTAGAGGCCGATGGGCGCGTGGGGTTGAGACTTTGTCTGAGATGACTCTCGAAAGATTGCGGCGCCAGCAAACGATGGTAGAAGCCCACAAACAACGAGACGTAGCTGCGGTAAGGCGAAGGAAATAATAGCAAAATGCATGTGACAGCTGGAGATTTTGCTCTTTCTGGTGCTGGCAGAGGCATCTCATCTCAGCCAGCAGGAGGACTCAGCGGACGAGCCAGCAAGGCTGAGTCCGAGGCGGATGAATACCATCGGGTACTTGTCGGCCGCTGAGCAAGGTACAGGATATTGGTGAGCCGGCGCGTCAAATGGCAAGTATTTGGCGGCGCTTGTCGTGTATTTCCATCTCCCTGTGTCCCTCGGCATCCTTTGCTTCGAGCCGAGCTGACAAGGATGATGACGGGGTGGTTCATCGGTCGTCCTTCAGCCCCCGCTGAGGTATCCGTAGCGTGTGCTGGAGGAAAAGTCCTCAGTGCGACCGACGGTTGAACCCCCGCGCCCCGCGGCGGAGCAACTCTTGTCCATGTCCCTCTCCCGGCCTTATTCCTGTTCCTGTTCATGTCCTTGCGCGAGGTGCCAAAGATGCAAGGCGCCCGTGCCGGTATGGTGCCAGTGCTCGTCGCCACAGCCAGGTACCGCGGCAGACACAAGTCAGTGGGTGTCAGTGTACGGATAGTACAAGATATTGGGCAAATTTTGGCTCGCCCTGTCGTGTGGTCGATGCTGGCATCGCGGTGATTGATGGGTCTCGTAGTGGAGAGACAGCAATGCGGTTCGCATGTGTCTAATATCGGGGGTTCTCCAATACCCATTCTCGATATCACCAGTGTTGCAGAGAGTTGTTATCTTTAGTCTGAGAACCCTGTCCTTCCGGCGCGGTCTCCGATCAAAAGGGCCAAGAAGCGAGCGATGCAAGTGCTGAAGCAGTCTAGCGGTGAAAAGTGAGCTGTCGGTCGGATGGACTCTGGCTATGGCGCTAAGAGAAAGAGGTATTTGGCGATTCGACGAGAGGCCGTGGGAAAGATGTAGGACATGATATGCCGCGTTGGTGTCGAGGTACCATAGACTCAAGTTTCCGTCTTTCTTTGTCTGGAGACGCTGTTGCCGTCGGCGACGGAAGATGAAGATGTCGTCGAATGGATGGGATGCCCTGCCCAGTGCCAAAGGCTTGTCTTGTCGTCGGCTCGGCCGCCTGTGGAATTTGATGAGGGATGCAGGAGCAATGAGGTGGGGATAAAGTCTTGGCTTGCTGCCGGAAGTTGGAATACTGGGAGAAAAAGCAACAGTCCGTGAAAGGTGCAACCATTGGAAGTGTCGAGGTGTGTGGTACGTTTGGTGGAGAGGAAAGAACTTGGAGCTTGGAGATGCAGTTGACAAGTCCCGACCGCAGGTCTGCAGCTGGCACGGGCACTGGCACTGGCAACCGCACTGGCAGCCTAACGGCACTGGCAACTGCAATGGCAATGGCACTGAAGAACGCACGCCGGCACTCGAGAAGCAACCAACCTCACTCCCGGCCATTCTGCGCCGTAGCACCTCGATCAAAAGTGCCATAGATGCCCTGTTCTTAACCCGTCACGTCACGTCAGGTTTCATTCGCATCCCAAGTGCCCTGTCCTGTTCCCTAACCTCTAGGGTAAAAGGCAGCTTACCATCCCGCTCCAAGGAACACGGGCATCATCACATCACATCGGATCGTACTACAGACCCGTGTCGACACATCCTTCAACACCTGCTGTTTTCTTCCCTTCTACCACACGGCGCTTCATGATAAGGTAAGGTACCGTACCTCATGAGATGCTTTATCTCTTCATCTCTCACAAGGATCCCCCACCGAGCGTACTACCCTCCAACTTGATGGAAGCGCTGGAATACTACAGAAGGACACGAAGAGTGAGGCTAGAGCCAGGCTACAGCGGCGTCTGGAGTCTTGGCCAACTGCTGCTTTGATTCTAGCTGCGCCGCGGCGCTGTGCCTGATGAGCAACCAGAGTCTCATCGCAGCGAGTTGCAGGGGGGAACGCACCCTCTTCATTCTGCCACAGAGCGGGCGGCGCTTTTGCCAGACCTTCTGTGCAGACTTCGACGCGTCTTCTGCCGTTGAGCAACCGATTCCGAGGCCAACCAGCCAGGGCTCGATCCCCTTCTCGTTGGACAGAAGTGACTTGCAGCAACAGTTGCAGCAACATCTCGACCAACCCAGCCCAGACAACTTGACCGGAAGGAAAGGGGAGGGGGAACACAGTCTCTCCCTCTTTCTCTACCCAAGGTAGAGGCCGCAATCTCTCCCACCCACACCTTCTCGGTGCCCTCCATCATCTTCTCCCCCTTCCCCAACATCGACCTAAAGAAGGTGGCTTACTTACATGGCCGTACCTGCTTTATCTTCACCTAGGCAGCGGCTTCCTTCGGTCGGTTCAGGAAAGGGAAGAAGGAAGAAGATGGATGACCTTCTGGAACATCTGCTCAGGCACTCCTCATCAGCCCGTGGATTCATTCCGCCTTACCTGCTGTACCGTCCCTAGCCTTGTTGCCTGGATACTCTGTACCAGACCAGCTGGGAATCAGGCGTCCTAAGAAAGAATGCG